GGGGAAGTTCTATTCTGTCTAATGGGATTGTTATGAGTTGGCATTGACTTGATGGCAGTGCTGTTTTTTGGGTTTTATGACACCTAGAATGAAGCTCAAATCTACTCTAACCTAAGGAGAGATGGCAGTACTCAGTGGTAACATCATCCGCTGGTGGTACACAAAACTGATGAGGCGCTTTGATTCTCTAGAACATAGCTTGGGAAAATTTATCAATTAGATAAGCATTCAGAATACTTTGTTAAAATGTTATTACTTGTTTTTATTTTCCCCCTTCTCTGGCAGAACTATATTTTTATTTTTAAATTTTAAAATATCTGCTGTAACACTGCTGTATTTTAGTTGTGAATGAATCTCATTCCATTGTGTCTCCAGGATGTATAGAGTTGAGATAAAATTATACCCTCATAAGAATTCTGTTTGTATTGGAAGGTAGAACACCTGGGCAATGGCTCTTTCTCCAGTGATGTACACTTTAAATCTTCTTACCTTTCTGGGCCTTAATTTTCCAATGAGTATACTAAAGGGCTGGATTACATAGTCCCTAAGATTTGCCTTAGGAGTCCTGGTGGCACAGGTTAGGTGCTTGGCTGCTAACCAAAATGTTGGCAATTTGAGCCCACCAATGGCTCTTGGGAGAAAAGACTGGGCAATCCACTCCTGTAAAGATTATAGCCTACAAAACCCTACGAGGCAATTTTACCCTGTCATAGAGGGTCCCTATGAGGTGGAATGGACTCAGTGTAATACAGCAGCAAGGTTTGGTCCAACTTGAAAATGGTACTATGTTATGAGACAATAATATTGAATATGGGTGAAATTTCGAGGTCACAGAGATAATCTCAAGTGGCCATGTGTTCTGTTATTGGGCTTCATTTTTTTCTTGTTCCTAAAAATTGCTAAATAGTTCCTTATGTCCTTAGACATATATATATTGAGTAGTTACTATGTTCTGGGCACAGAACTAGACACAGAGGATTAAATCAGTAAGACCTTTTCCTGCTCTCTGACTTTATAGTACAAGCTGAATATTTTTAGCCCCCTTCTTTAAATTTGTTATGTCTCTTGATCAGCTCAATGAATTGCATTTGCAGCACATTCCTCTTGATCTTCATGAGGTGGATACAGTATTTTTCTTTCCAAGAGCTTATTCTTCAAGTGTTATATAAACTGTGAGTGAGGAAACTGAAAACTACTCTTCAACATTCTTTCTATAGCTGGTGTTTGACTTCCTAGTTCCCTGTTAAGCTGCAGGCTTCAGCTGGAAGGAGCAATGAAAAATGTCACCTGTGCCCCTAGCCCCCAGTTTCTCACTAGGAGTCTCACTTTCTGGAGTTAAGTAGCTTGATGATTTTGGCATTCAGTCAGCCTATAACTTAGTCCTATCATCATCCACTTGCATCAGTGACCTGCTCTAGGACTAGACCGTTAAGAAATTTAGTCAATTCTAGAGACATTCTTCTAGAAGCTTTATTTTAGAGAAAATGCACACTTTGTAACAGTGCATGTCACTAGCAAGTGACATATTTTCTTATCCAATCTGCAACTCTCCATCTCTTGAGTGGTGCATTTAATCATTAACATTCAGGGTAATTATTGATAAGTTTGAATTTGTTGCTGTCGTTTTGTTATGTGTGTTTTCATGGTGTCCCTGGTTTCTTCATTCCGTATTATTTTCTGTGCTGAGCTCTTTATGTTTATGAATCCTGTTATCATTTCCTTTGTTCCTGTTGTTTTAGCATATGTTGAATATTTGTACTTGTTCTCTTTTTTATTGTGATGTGAAGGTGTGTCCATATCACTCCAACCTTTGCTTCTGTTGTTACATCTCTTTCTCTGACTCTGACCCTCCTGCCTTATAAACCAGATACCAAACTCACTGCCATTGAGTTGATTCTAACTCATAGTAACCCCCATTGGGTTTCCAAGGCTATAAATCTTTATGGAAGCAGACTGCCCCATATTTCTTCCATGGAGCAGCTGATGGGTTTGAACCACCAACCTTTTGGTTAGCATCCAAATGCCTTAACCACTACCCCACCAGAATTCCTTATCCCATATAAGGACCCTGTGATTGATTATATTGGACCCACCCACATAATCCAGATAATCTCCCCATCTCAAGATACTTAATTTAACTCAAATACAAAGTCTCTCACAATGTGAAGGTAGCATTCACAGGATCTGGAGATTAGGATGTGGACGTCTTTTTGGGGCCCATTATTCTGCCTGCTACAGTCCTTATCTTCTTGTTTGTATTCTAGTGAAGTAGTGTGGTTGTTGTTAGCTGCTGTTGAGTCAGCTTTAACTCATGGAGGCCCCATGTTCAACTTGCAAAAACGGCAAGGAGGCCACATGTTCTGACCTCCTCTAATCCCACAAGAGGAAGACAGGATTACCAGCAGTAACCCAAGGCCTATTCCTGCCAGGCCAGACATGCTACCTCCCCCTTCCAGCCCTTTCTCCAACCGTTCCTCCCAAAGCACCCACCACCTCTCCTCTGGGTTCGATAATTCGCTGCAGTGGCCACACAGAACTCATGGATTACGGGGTTTATTAGGGAAGCACCAGGCTACAACTCAAGTTCAGGAAGAACGCTCAGTCTCTCTCCCAGCCCACCGTCCCTCAGCCAACAGTCTCTCACAGTCTCTTTCCCAGGAGTGCTGGTCCCTCGGTGTCTCACTCAGCAATGCATGTCTCTTGCGTCTCTTTCCCAGCAGCACGTGTCTCTTTTGGGGGCGCATGTCTCTTTCGGCAGCACGTCTTCCTCCACCAGCAGTCAGAGTTCTGCCTCCAGGAGGCCTCCTTTTGAGCCCGGCAGGGTGGTCAAACTAGCCAACTATAGCATCAGAACTCTAAGCACCTGAGAGAGAGTGCGCACCTCCCAGAACATTGTTTTGTGCCACTCCCAACAGAAATACTCCAGGTGGACACCTTCAGCAATCAGAAGCTCCTCAGTTGCTCATAGCAAATCCCACCTTGGAGTTTACAAAGACTTATGGGTAGAAAAGCCACACAAAGTAATTTACTACACTGCAAGAATGAAATGTTGCCCAGTTTTGCACAGTCTTCACAATTGTTGGTATGCTCCAATCCACTGTTATATCCAATGTGTGGCTAAATTTTGAAGTTAACTACCAGGTTTTTCTTCTCAGTCTGTCTTAGTCTGCAAGCTCTGCAGAAACTTGTCCATCATGGGTACCCTTGCTGGTATTTGAAATATTGGTGACAGAGCTTCCAGCATCATGACAACATGCAAGCCACTACAGTATGACAAAGTGCCAGACAGATGGTAGGCAGTAGTAGTAGTAGAAGGGGACTGAGCCTGTCAGATTTACTCTTCCTGATAACCTAAACATCTCACATCTATTGATCAGTATTGTTATTTAAATTGTTAAATCAGGTCTTAAGATATGGAAAGTTTTATCAGTGATATCAGTATGTAATAAAAAAGACTGTTACTGTTGTTAGGTGCCATTGAGTTGGCTCCTACTCATAACACCCCTATGTACAACAGAATGAAACTCTGCCTTGTCATGTACCATCCTCAAACTCTTTGCTATACTTGAGCCCATCATTGCAGCCACTGTGTCAATCCATCTCATTGAGGGTCTTTCCCTTTTTTGCTGACTCTCCACTTTATCAAGCATGATATCTTTCTCTGGGAACGGTCCTTCCAACAACATGACCAAGATACATGAGACGAAGTGTGGCCATTCTCGCTTCCAAGGAGGATTCCAGCTGCACTTTGTTCAGGACAGATTTGTACCTCATTCTGATAGTCCATGGTATTTTCAATATTCTTCGCCAACACCACAATTGAAAAGCATCAACTTTTCTTCAGTCTTCCTTATTCGTTGCCAGCTTTCACATATGTATGTAGTGATTAAAAATACTATGGCTTGGGTTAGGAGCACCTTAGTCTTCAAACTGACATCTTTGTTCTTCAACACTTTAAAGAGGTCTTTTGCAACAGATTTGCCCAGTGCAATATGACATCTAATTTCTTGACTGCTGTTTCTGTGGCTGTTGATTGTGGATCCAAGTAAAAGGAAATAAAAAAGACTAGGCATGTCAATTGACATTGTAAGCGGTACAACGCTATAGAAATATCACCTCATAAAACATTTTCTTTATATTTTTTAACTGCCAACCTAAAAATTAATTAAATTGGACAGAAACACAAATCTAGGAGACTGAATAACTTCTGATCAGGAAAGCTCACTTAGTAAACTGCTCATTATCCTAAGGTAAACCAATTAGGGAGTTTGGAAAGGGAAAATAATCCACTGAGAGGATCTGGCTTACCTTTTTTTATACAGCTTTTTTGATCATAAACACAGAGTAGCCAAGACCATTCTTAACCACTAAAATTTTGAATTTTAGTGTGATATAGTGTGAAAAGTTTATAAATAAAATAACATTAGAAATCCCCAAAGTCTAAATGATTTTTTTAGAACTGGTGGGGTTTTATTTAGATAATCAGAAATCAATACACTGTTAGATAAAAACTATGTTCAAGTTCATGTGGGTGATAAGGAAATTGCTAAAAATTTTCTTTCTTGATATATTTTTCACTATGGTTGTGATGAGTTTGAAGATTTAAATCTGAGTGTGGATGAAAGTGGGGAAATAGGTGAGCTTCTCACCAAAGGTATTTTTATTTTCTGTATTTTATAATGAGATATAGGAATAATTTGTTTAAATGTCTTAAATTGAACTTCTGTTGACCTTTGGGTAACACTAAGCTTTTTTTCCTTTTCACTTTCTAGTGAAAAGATGGTCAAATCAGAAGAAGTTGATAAAAATGGAGAGCCTTTGCTATTTCTCTCTGTACCACAAATTAAAATTAGGAGCTTTGGGCAGCTGTCCTGCTTGCTATATATTGCCAAAGAAACAAAGCTGAAGGAAACACAAGCATGTCTTGAAGGTGATGCTTATACTCCAGTTTGTGATTTGAACCTTTAGAAACATAATCTTGGGGGGAATAATTTGTTACAGTTTCTTAAAAAAAAAAAAAAAGTCTATAATCTGAATGTTAAAAAATCATGCACAATTTAATAAAAATATCATTAATTTTTCCTGGCTAACATGTTATATCAGGTGACTACTTTAAAGTGAAAGTCCTAATACTTTACTATTAGTGGGCTACTAGGTTTCTAATTTTATGTAAGTTTTAGCATGTGGTTTAAAGAAAACATTCTAGTGCCTACGTGGTGTAAACAGTTAATGCACTTGGCTGTGAATCAAAAGGGTGCAGGTTCAAGTCCAGCCTTAAGCACTCATAGGCATCTCAGAAGAAAGGCCTGGCAATCTTCTTCCAAAAATCCAGCCATTGAAAACTCTGTGGAGCACAGCTCTACTCTGACACACATGGGGCCACCATGAGTCAGAATCAACTCGATGGCAGCTGGTTATTGGGTCTTAGCTTCTGGAAGGACTAGAGTCCCTTTAAAATCTATTTCAAAAGACAAGACACATGACCAGAGCAAGCATCTGAATTCACCCTCCTCCTGGAACACTGCTATGATGGATGACCATCAGCTTCCTTTAGCATGAGAGCAGGCGCTTCATTTAACAGACATAGCCTACAGTCATTTCACTTTCCATTTCAACCATTTTCCATTGTGGACTTCTGTGAATTACTATATGTGTTCAAATTCTGTGGGAAATATTTTTCCTCTTGTTAAACATATATAATGTTCTCAATATTATTGTCTAACATGCACACACACAAAAAATGGAATTGATTGCCTGTTGTAAGTGTGCTCTGAGTATATCTTATAAGTAGAAATACCTAATAGTAGGTAATAAAGTCTTGTGTTTTGCTTCATTGGGGCATGTGACCAGTGAGTTCCAGATATAAGGTGGAATTGTACCACTGATCATTCTTTTTTCCTGTCCATTGTTGTGAAGTAGGAAGATGGTCCTTTTTTTCCTTTTTAAAAATGTGTCAACCTTAGGACAGCAGCCTCTTTAAAAAAAAAAAAAATTGCAGTAATATATGTATAACAAAATGTTTCCTGTTTTAACCATGCAATTTGATGACACTAATTACATTCACTATGTTGTGCAACCATCGCTACTATCCATATTCAAATGGCTTTCATTTCCCTAAACAAAAACCCTTAATTAATAACTCCCGTTTACTCCTCCACTCAGACTCTGGTAACCACTAGTGAACTTTTGTCTCTCTAAGTATTTCATGTAAGTGGGATCATATAGTATTTGTCCTTTTGTGTCTGACTTATTTTGCTTAGCATAATATTTTCAAGGTTTATCCATGTTGTAAAGTGCCATAACTTCATTTATCTTTATGGCTCAATAATAATCCATTGTATGTATAAACTACATTTTGTTTATATATTCATTTGCTGATAGACACTTGGGTGGTTTTGTACCTTTTGGCTATTGTGAATAATGGTCAGTGAACATTGGTATACAAGTATCTGCTTCCTCTTTTCAATTCTTTTGGGTATATATTCCTAGAACTAGAATTTGTGGGTTATATGGTAGCCCTTTGTTTAACTCTTTGAGGAGTTGCCAAATTGTTTTCCACAGTGACTCCTTGGTTTTATATTTCCCAAAACAATGGATGAGGGTGTCAATTTCTCCATGTTCTTACTAACACTTTTTTTTTTTCCTGATATTAGCCATCCAAGTGGGTGTTAAGAGGTATCTCATAATGGTTTTGATTTGCATTTTCCTAATAATTAATGTCTTTGAACATCTTTTTATGCGTTTATTGGTCATTTGTATTCTTCTTTATTCAAGTTTTTTTTGCCCGGTTTTTGATTAGGTGGTTTGTCTTTTTGTTGTTAAGTTATAAGAGCTCTTTATATATTCTGAATATTAAACCCTTATCAGATATATTGTTCTCAAATAATTTCACCCATTCACTTTGTTAATAAGGTCCTTTGTTGTATAAAAATTTTTGATTTTGATGAGTCTGCTTGATCTATTTTGTCTTTTGTTGCTCATGCTTATGGTGTCACATCTGTGAATTCATTATTGAAAACTAGATCCTGAAGCATTATACCTAAGTTTTCTTCTAAGAGTTTTATGGTTTTAGCTGTTATATTTAGATCATTGATCCATTTTGAGTTATTTTTGTATATGGTATTAGGTATGGGTCCAAACACCATTTAGTGAAGAGACTATTCTTTTCCTGTTGAATGGACTTGGCACCCTTGTCAAAAATCAGTTGACCATAAATATATGGGTTTATTTTTGGACTCTCAATTCTATTCCATTGGTCTGTATGTCTTTCATTATACCTGTACTACTTTGTTCTTCTTTTTCAAGATTGCTTTGGCTATTTGGGGTTCTTTGAAAAGACCCTATGTATTTGAGGTTTGGCTTTGCCATTTTTGCCAAAAAGGCTGTTGGAATTTTGACTGAGATTGCATTAAATCTATAGATTACTTTGGGTAGTATTGAGATCTTCAAAATATTAAGTCTTCCAATCCATGAGCACAGATGTCTTTGTTTAGATCTTCTTGAATTTCTGTCTGCAATGTTTTGTACTTTTCAGTGAACAAGACTTGTACCTTCCTGGTGAAATTCATTCCTGATTATTTTATTCTTTTAGGTGCTTTTGTTAATGTAATTGTTTTCTTAATATTTTCCCCAGATTGTTCATTTTTAGTGTACAGAAACTCAACTGAGTTTTGTGTATTGATCTTGTAACCTGTGACTTTGCTGAATTCACTTTCTAGTGTTAGTACTTCCTTGTGTATTCATTAGGATTATCTGTATATAAGATCATGTCATTGTACAAATAGAGTTTTACTTCTTCCATTTCGATATAGATACCTTTTATTTCTTTTTCTTGTCTAATTGCTCTGTCTAGAACTTCCAGTACAATATTGAGTAACAGTGGTGAAAGTAGGCCTCCAGTCTTGTTCTTATCTTAGGCTGAAAGTGTTTCGTCTTTCCCCATTGAGTATGATGATAGCTTTTGGTTTTTCATAAATGCCCTTTATCAAACTGGAAGCAATTCCCCTTCTACTTCTAATTTGGTAAGTGTTGTTATCATGAAAAGGTGTTGGATTTTGTCAAATGCCTTTTTTTTTTTCCACATCTGTGTAGGTGATCATGTGTTCCTTTCCCTTTGTTCTATTAATGTGAATGTATTACATTGGTTTTCTTATGTTGAACGACCATTGTAGTACAGAAATAAATTTCACTTGGTCATGGTGTATATAATTCTTTTATTGTGCTGTTGAATTCAGTTTGCCGGTGTTTTGGTTGAGCATTTTTGCACCTATATTCATAAGGGCTTTGAGTGGAAATTTTCTTTTTTTTTTTTTTGTAAGGTCTTTCTCTGGTTTTGGTATCAGGATAATACTTGCCTTGTAGAATGAATTGAGTAGTGTTCCTTCCTCTTCTGTTTTTTGGAAATGTTTGAGAAGGACTGATGTTAATTCCTCTTTAAATGTTTAATGGAATTCCCTTGTGAAGTCATTGGGCTCAGGATGTTTCTATGTTGAGAGGTTTTTGATAACTAATTCAATCTTTTTGCTTGTTAGGGGTCTTTGGAGATTTTCTATTTTTTCTTGAGTTATTTAGGTCCTTTATATGTTTCAGAATTTATCCCTTTCATCTAGGCTATCCAATGTGTTGGCATACCATTCTTCATGTTGTTAGGTGCCATCGAGTTGTGTCCTACACAAAGCGACCCTACACACAGCAGAGTGAAACACCACCCAGTCCCACGCCAGCTCCATGATCCTTGCTATACTTGAGCCTGTCGTCACAGCCACTGTGTCACTCCATCTCATTGAGGGCTCTCCCCTCTTTCGTAGACCCTCCACCTTTTCCAGGTAATGGTCCCTTCTGACAACATGACCAAAGTAGGTGAGATGAAGTCTGGCCATTCTCACTTCCAAGGAACATTCTGGCTGCACTTCCTCCAGGACAGATCTGTTAGTTCTTTTAGCAGTCCATGGTACTTTCAGGATTCTTTGCCAACACCACAACTCAAAAGCATCAATTCTTCTTCAGTCTTCTGAAGAAGACTTGAAAGAGGTCCCTTGCTGCCAACTTGCCCAGTGTTATACGTCGTCTGCTATCCTGACTGCTGCTTCCATTGGCATCAATTGTAGAATCAAGCAATATGACGTCTTTGACAACTTCAATCTTTTGTCCATTTATTGTGATGCTGCTTATAGGTCCAGTTGTTAGGATTTTTTGTTTTCTTTATATTGAGATGTAAACCATACTGCAGAATGTATTCTTCAATCTTCATCAGTAAGTGCCTCAAGTCATCTTCACTTTCAGCAGGAAAAGTTGTGTCGTTAGCGTATCACAGGTTGTTTATGATACTTCCTCCAATCTTGATACCATGTTCTTCTTTATATAGTCCAGCTTCTTGGATTATTTGATCGGCATACAGATTGAATAAGTATGGGGAAAGAATACAACCCTGCCTCACTCCCTTCTCGATTTTAAACCATGCAGTGTCCCCTTGTTCTGTTTAAACAACAGCCCCTTGTCAATGTACAAGTTCCTCATGAGCACAGTCAAGTGTCTGGAATTTGCATTCTTTTCAATGTCATCCACAATTTGTTATGAGCGACACAATCAAATGCCTTTGCATAGTCATTAAAAGACAAGTAAACATCTTTCTGGTATTCTTTGCTTTGAGCCAAGATCCATCTGACAGCAGGTATGATATACCTTGTTCTACATCCTCTTCTGAATCCAGCTTGCATCTCTGAAAGTTCCCTGTTAATATACTGCTGCAACCGTTTTTGAATTATCTTCAGTAAGATTTTACTTGCGTGTGATATTAATGATACTGTTCTATAATTTCCACATTCTGTGGGATCATCTTTCTTTGGAATGGGTACAAATATGGATCTCTTCCAGTCAGTTGGCCAGGTAGCTGTTGTCCAAATCTCTTGGCATAAATGAGTGAGTACCTCCAGTGGGGCATCTGTTTGTTGAAACATCTCAATGGGTATTCTGTCAATTCCTGGAGCCTTGTTCTTTGCCAATTCCTTCAGTGCAGCTTCTACTTCTTCCTTCGGTACCATTGGTTCTAGATCATATGCCACCTCCTGAAATGGATGAAGATCAACCACTTCTTTTTAGTACAGTGACTCTTTGTATTCCTTCCATCTTTTTTTGATGTTTCCTGCATCATTCAATAGTTTGCCCATAGAATCTTTCAATATTTCAACTTGAGGGTTAATTTTTTTCCTCAATTCTTTCAGCTTGAGAAATGCTGAGCATGTTCTTCCCTTTTGGTTTTCTAACTCCCAAGTCTTTGCACATTTCATTATAGTAATTGGCTTTGTCTGCTCAAGCTACTCTTTGAAATCTTCTGTTCAGCTCTTTTAACTTGTCATTTCTTCCATTTGCATTAGCTACTCTCCACTCAAGGGCAAGTTTAGAGTCTCTTCTGTTATCCATTTTGGTCTTTTCTTCTTTTCTATCTTTTTTTAGGACCTCTTGCTTTCTTCATGTATGTTTATTTCTTTTTTAAGAGCTTGTTTTACATTCAACATAACGTGTACATTTAGTTTCATTCCCCGTTTGCCATGTCCAACCCTAACCCAGTCTCCTCCCCTCCATGGATGATGTTCCTGATGTCATCCCACAGTTCCTTTGGTTTTTAGTCATTGGCGTTCAATGCATAAAGTCTATTCTTTAGATGGTCTCTAAATTCAGGAGGGATATATTCTAGATCCTATTTTGGCTCTTGTGGTCTTTTTTTTTTATAAACTGTCTTTAAGTTCAAGTTGAACTTGCATATGAGCAGTTTATGATCTGTTCCACAGTGAGCTCCTGGCCTGTTTTGGCTGAAGATACTGAGCTTCTCCATCACCTCTTGCCACAGATGTAGTTAATCTGATTCCTGTGTATTCCATCTGGTGAAGTCCATGTGTATAGCCACCATTTGTGCTGTTGAAAAAAAGTATTTGCAATGAATAAGTAGTTGGTCTTGCAAAATTCTGTCATGTTATTTCCAGCATCATTTCTGTCATCAAGGCCAAATTTCCAACTGCCAGTGATTCTTCTTTGTTTCCAACTTTTGCATTCCAGTCACCAGTGATAATTAGCACATCCTGATTGCATGTTTGGTCAATTTCAGACTGCAGAAGATGATAAAAATCTTCAGTTTCCTCATCTTTGGCTTTGGTAGTTGGTGCATAAATTTGAATAATAGTTGTATTAACTGGTCTTCCTTGTAGGCATATGGTTATTATCCTATCACTGAAGCATTGTACTTCAGGACAGATCTTGAAACATCCTTTGTGATGATGAATGCCACAGCATTCCTTTTGAAATTGTCATTCCTGGCATAGTAGACCACATGGTGGTCTGATTCAAAATGGCAAAAAGCAGTCCATTTCAGCTCACTAATGCCTAGGATATTAATCTTTATGTGTTCCATTTCATTTTTGACAACTTCCAATTTTCCTAGCTTCATGCTTTGTACATTCCATGTTCCAATTATTAATGGATGTTTGTAGCTGTTTCTCCTCAGTTTGGGCATTGCCACGTCAGCAAATGGAGGTCTTGAAAGCTTTACCTTATACATATCATTAAGGCTGGTTCTACTCTGATGATGCAGCTCTTTCCTGGTCCTATTTTGAGAGCTTTCCGACCTAAGTGGCTTATCCTCCTGCACTGTATCTGACAGTGTTTCTGGGCTATTCGTAAAGTTGCACAGTAATGTATCAGACAGTGTTTCTCTGCTATTCGTAAAGTTTTCCCTGGCCAATTCTTTGAGAAGTTGATGGCCGCCTCCTTCTTCCTAGTCTGTCTCAGTCTGTAAGCTGTTGAAACCTGTGCACCATGTGCAACCCTATTGAGTTTGAGACACTGGTGGCACAGCCTCAAGCCTCACAGCAACATGCCACCACAGTAGGACAAACTGACAGACAAGTTTGTCTCCCTTAGCTGTTCAAAACCTCTCCACCTTCCCCGCCCTCCCCTTACATAGATCCCTGCCTCTTTCCTACCTCTTAGGAGGGCCATGACCTGCGTCCCTGGCCT